TCCAGTCAGCATGCTCAGCTGGAAGTTAAAGATCCCATGGTGTTATTTGAAAAGAGAAGAGAGTTTCTCCTGGTGTCTTGGCCAACAATCCCCCAAATAAAATTCATGTCACTCACTTATTCACTCACTAAGGCTGTGATATGGAAAAACCACAGACCCGTTCCAACTTAATAGGAAGCATTTCCAATTCTTTTGTAAAACCTCTCTCCTGCTGTGAGCAATTTTATTCTTATGTTCTTGACATTTTTTTAAACTGTACACAGCTGACTCCCTCAACTAATGGTCAGCTAAGCATTCTTCTTACCCCCCACTCTTAAAGCATAATTCTTCATTTGTTAGAATTCAATGTTGGCATCTCTAACACATATTGGGATCACAGCTCCCTCTAATATGTACAGAAGCCATTTATTCATGTCTTGTTGATGAGGAAATAATGGACTATCCCTAAGTCACACAGTTATTGACCTTTTACAATTTAAAATATATTACATCTTTAAAATAGTCTTGACAATTAAAGTTAGCATTTACAAAGAATCATTGGAAGCGCAGCCATAAATACTAGCAATGATAAACATTGGCAATATGAAATAATGCTGGAACATTTGGACTCTATATACAGAAGAAATAAAATGAAAGCAGGCTGTTCAGGGCAGTGTATAAGCCAGCTACTCAATGCATGCAACACTGTAAAAGCTGAAAATCAATTATATACCATATTCACTTCAGCAAAATCCAGCATACAATCACTATTACATTAGAAAAGAAAATGCATGTACACTTTTAAAGAACTAATAAGAAAGAACTGTTACAGATGAAATACATTGTACTAGAATAATTCATTACTTCAGAATTACTCTGAAATACAACAACAACTTGCACTTATATTGCGCCCTCCACACAGGGTAGAGTCTCAGAGCGCTTACAAGAGGATGGAGAAAGGAATATAGATTAGATTGAAAAAGCATCTCTTTCCCAATTTAATTTCACAAAGTACTGTGCTAGCCTGATCAATAGCTGTATTTAGATTCACTTTCAACAACACTTTACAAAAGATATTAAATTTACATCAATTGTTAGGTATCTGCAAAATTTACATATTATTGCTGTTGGCCTAAAGGGTGCCCAGTTTGGATAAATTCTGAAATAGAAGACTGAAATTAGTACCTGAGGAGATCAGTATATGTCTACAATGAATATGAATTATCAAATTACAGTAGCATTTTACACATTCCAAGCCTATTCATTTAAAAATAAAAGCTGGACTCCGGCCTGTTCAAGCCTGGAGTCTCTCTTAGCTTTAACTTTAGCCAAAACAAAACTGTGTCTGCACTGTCACTGTCACATTGCTGAACATCAGCAAAACTTCTCAGCTTTTAGTTTCTCAGTTCTGAGGCAATGAAGAGAAATTTGCAGTTTGAATGTAAAACACTTTCTTCCCTGATAAGTAGTCATTTCCTATTAATGCAGATAGCTTCAGCTATTTTAACTACTCGCCACAAAAGCATAAAACATTGCTGGCGGAAGCACTCAAAGGAATGCATATTGTAAACAACAAAGCCAGGAGGTGTTCTCTCTGCAATATGGCAGTTCGTGTATTTGGTCTATTTCCACATTGATGGAAAGCTGCCTTCTTAAACTCAGTCTCCAGTCTTTTGCTAAGAACAGTAAAAACCCATCAAAGACTTAGCTTAACACAACTTTCTCAATTGGTTTGGAAATCAACTGAAAACATGAACTACAATAGAGAACATACTGATCAAAAACTCCTCGCTGATGCAACCGTGCAGTGTATTTTCATGATTTATTCACCCAATAAAATAGTTTTAAAATGAACCTCATGACACTAATAAGAAATAACCACACAAAGACATACAGGGGGAATTCTTGACCTTCAAACTATTTATTGAAAGTCCTTCCTTCCTGCAAAGGTTAATTTGTACTGCAGCCACAATAATAAGATAAAACTGATGACAGTGACATTTCCAATTAATGCACTAGATAAATCTTTCAACGACTAGGCTGAGGACTGATGCTGTTCCTGATAAACCTCATAGCTGGCTCATACTATAGATCTCTTCACATTGAGTGACCTGACAGGCTCATTTACTGATGGACTGCCACATTTTAAGAAGAAATTGAGTTGGTCCCTGGTATAAAAAAGGTGAGAAACAATGATCTAGATCGGACTTTGTGTAAATGTTCAATCTCTGGAGTATTTTGACAGAATGAATGATGGTTCCAATCCTCCAGAGGGGAGCAGGGGTCTCCTTGACGATGAGCAGGATAAATAATTTCCAAAGAAATTGACTCCGTCATGCCTAAACTGCTGGGGAAATAGTACAGTAAGGAAATAAAAGGGTGGGCAATGATAGCCATACTGCCCCTGGGCAAGATAGAGAATCCTGAATGTGCCAGAAATGATTGCTTTACTTGGAGAAGCAGAAGACCTCTGAAATGAGCTTCAAAAGAATAAATATTCTCAATTCCTGCTGTTGGCCCATTAATCTTGTCCATTTCAAATTATCTTTATACAAAAGCAACAACTTGCATGTGTGATGTCCCAGCGCCTTGGGACGTCCTCCCAATGCGAAAGCGCTATACAAATGTAACTTTATATTGTATTTATATAGTGCCCTTCGCGCAAGATAGTTCTTAACACATTATACCATGTGCTAAGAACTTTCAATTTAGCCCTAACTGCATCAAAGATTCCTCAAGGAATTGGAACATACTGTGAGACTGAAAACTTCTGGAGTGATAGTACTGTACAAATGGAACTGATTCCTTTGACTTGTGCGAGGAACACAAAGCTCTGCTGCATAGGAGTGCCTGTACAGAGGAACAGCACATTCTTTCACTATTGGGCACAGATCATCAAAATGTAAATTCTTTCAGACAGTATGTTGATAAAAACTAATATGTGCGGAACTGGTTTGGATTCTCTGAAGTATGTTGCATCACAGACATTCAGCTGACCAAATAACTGGGTAATATTCTTTCAGTGGCACCTTAATTCTATACAATACATGATAGGTTTACAGTATTTACAAAACTTTCTGCTTATACCCAATTCCAGAAAACCTCCATGGGTATTTATTTATTAGTTATTGATCCTGAGAATCTCCACTAAATAATGGGTTTCATTTTCCCAAATTAACTGCCTGCAGGGTTGATCCATTAAACTTCAAGTTATAACTATAGGAAAATTCTAACAAACAGAGCATCTGACATTGAAAGTTAAACTGTCTGAACTGAATAGAACAACCTCTGACTGGTGAACAGTCATTTCTGAAGTATTAAAATTCTCTCTCTCTCTCTCCTTCTACCTTTTTTTTCTCTTACGCCCTCTCCCTCTTTCCCTCTCAGATGATCGAACTGTTCAACATTTTCAGCATAATTTGTTGTTATTTCAAATATCCAGCATTTTTAAAATTTTTATCATCAGTTATTCTCAAGTGGTTCTAATGGTGACCTTGTTCACTTTGTTAGTTTTACTGCGTTTTGCTGCTTTATTTTAGCTTCAGGCCACGAAGGGAGACTTATACCCTTATTTAGCAATAATATATTCAGCACTGATGATCCATGGTTAGAGTACAAAGCTTAAACATTTGCTACTAGCCACTTCTTAAAGCACTACAGACAGTTTTGGCTGAATCCAATTATTTCAGAAGCAGATAGACTGTACCCAACCTATCTATAAAATAAAGCTGTCTTCCATTTGAAGTATGTAGAGTGCACTTGTCACTGATAATTATTTGAAAATAAGTAACTTAAAGGAGCCGCATATTTTGTTTGTTAAAAAATGAAAGCTTGATTCTCCTTTGTTTTGTAAAAGGTTAATTTTTCAGACAACATGATTCTTCCTCTCTACCTTGTCTCCAGGCAGAATAACAAACATCATTCAGAATGGCAGTGGCAGGAGTTTTACTCTACACTTAACATATATATATATATAGTATACATATATACACACCTTTTTTTTAAATGGCAGGAGCTTTTCAGCATCATTTTTGTTTAGCACTTGCAATCTGACCAGCTCCACACTCATCGATGGCAAGTAACAGCAAATTTAAATAAGGACTCCTTTAAGAGCAATTCATTCTGATGGATCAATAGCAACAGTGGAAATGCTAAGTAGACAATCTGCTTTGCTGCTAAAAGGATTTATCTGATTAAGGATTTGCAGCAATTTCTCATTCATTGCAGCCCAGACCTTGTTTATTTATTAGCATTGTTCCTCAATTGGAAGTCTTGTTTGAATAATGAAAAAACATTATGTAGGTTAGAATTTTGTCAATGTTATTTTAAGAATTGTTCATTTTACAGACAAAGGGTGAAGTCAATGGGACGCGCCAACAGGCTGAGCATGCAAAGGTACTGTACAAAGAGCTTTACAGAGGAGAGATGCAGAATGGCACCAACCTTCATTATCTCAAGAGTATTCAATCTCACTGCGCCTCCTTATCGACAAACCCCTTTAAGCCTCTATCGTTCATATCCTCTTGAAACCCACAATGTACTTGGCCTCTATCACCTCACTTGGCAGTGCATTCCACACCCCAGCAATTCTTTAAGTGAAAACATTTCACCTAAGCTCTCCTTTCACTTGCCTTATGATTAGTTTAGAATGATTGTCCCTCGTCATTGACGCCCCTACTGATGGAAATAACATAAGTATTTTTTATTTGCAAAAGAAATTTGCAGAACAAAACATAGTTTGACTTTGAATATGTAGATTAAAAACAATAAAATGTGATTATGCTTTATCCCAGCTTACAGGCACATAAAGCCTCAATTCCCTGTCTTGTCTGTGCACTTGATGTAAAATAATGTTGCTTTGCATTTAGCCAGGACAACCACGAACAATTCATCTTCAAATTAAAATGTAGTCAGGTCATAATTTATTATTTTTAAATCAAATTTTCTTTAATGAGTATTTCTAAAATTAAAACAAAGTTCTTTTTTTAAAAAAAAGGTGCTCTCAGTTTCCAGCTGAGTTGTGGGTGAAATAATATTTCAAAGTTTTTTTGTTATTAATTATTATTAATCTCAAGGTTACTAATTCCACATCACCTCCTGTCATTGAAGAGTAACATGATCAATAACTGAAAACACATTGGGCGCTGAAATAACACAATGACATACAACAAATAGTTTGGGATATGACCTGTGTAAGCGACTGCCAAGATGGTGGAAGGCGAACTGGATGGACTTTGGTCTTCTTTTGCCAAGCTAATTCTTATGTTCTTATGAAAAAGCATCAAAACAAATTCATCTACTGGCACAAACTTCTAGATCAAAACTGGCCCTAAAAATTAGCAAAGCACCCAACTTCTCTATTCATTTCTGTAAACCAAAATCCCATTTAACATCATACATACTACTAGAGCTCCTCAGGGTAACCACAACCAACATGAATTTCATACAAAAATAAATCTAACCTTTTCTGCGAGCCTCTGTGCTGTATTTCCGTGTGAGCGGGGCTGTGAAACCCATGAATCTTAATCCATTCTCACTAAATTCACTACATTCTTGGACATCTCTGACTTTCTTCTTTACAGCACAGTGCTTCCTTCTGAATCTTCCCAACTTCTTCGTTCGAAAGACCTTTCTAATATCAAAAGTGTGGCTGGTAAATGGAACAGGATTACAGGAAGGCTACATTTTACTTGTACCTTATTTGGCAATTGTACATTTAGTAACAGGTAGACCACCACTAATAAACAAGGGTAGCTTCATTCAGAAAGCACGTTTGTTAAATCTGCCATAAACATTGCCACAAATAAAAAAATCTATATGAAGGGTCAAAATTACTTATAAGACGTACATTATGTTTTAAGGGGAAACAGCTTTTAATAAAGTCCAGTTTTTACTTTCTTTTTAAAAACTAAAGGTTACATAGTTTCCCATGTTAAAATCATTGCTGCTTTTAGAGAGTATGTTGATTTGAAGAACTTGAGGTCGGTTCTACAGCACATTAACCTATCAAAGCATCAGAAGCCTTAATGCAAGACTCCAAGTGCACTGGGACCAAAGTGTACATCTTCAGAGATTTGCAACTCTCCCATGCCATTTCTGCAGAAGGTAAATGGCCAGTCAATGATGGAGGCATCCACTGGAGCCCACTCTTACTTCTCTGCGTCCTTATTCAAGGTTTTTACGACTTGTTCGTAGGGTGGTGGGGGCTGGTTGCAGTAGGCCGGTGGGGGGGGATAGGCCGGGTTGAGGAGAGGAGCATTGGGCTGAATTTGGAACGTTGTCCCAATGGGATGAAGAGGTGGCCCAGGTTCGGGGTAATATTGCATTCCGACCTGGGGGCCTGTGAGGAAAAGTAAAAGGAGGTTATTATTGCACTAAGCAACACAAAGCACAATGAGATACTGTCCTTTATAGCCCTCGTGTGGAAGCTTAAAATCCTGCAATTTAACAAGACTGGAGACTGCTGGGTGATGCAAGCTTTTGTTCTCCTCAGTGATCCATTCCTGAAAAATCATAATTTGGTCTCATTGCTAAAGCCAAAGGGAGAATCTAGGCAACAACAGAGGGCAGATATAGACGTTAGGGTCACTTAATAAACACCTCCCTTCTGCCGGAATATGCATGTCACTATCCCTGTGTACAATAATCTCCCGAGAGTCAGTTTTATTATCATGCTCAGCTGCAAGCTGCTCTCCTAATCGGCAGAGATCTCCAGCAGGTGACATATTGTGTTTCTGGACAACCTAAAGTGACCTGCTGAATCCCAGATGTTCAGTGAGAAACTCCAGCCAGACCCACAATTCACTCTATTTACGTAGCATTTCAGAGCATCCACAGTTTGGCCTGTGGAGTCCTGTAGTGTATTGGTTAGATCACTTTATTCTGATTATTGATATGAACAGGAGACCCCCAAAAATTTACCAACAAGTGACTATCCTCCTGGGTGGGTGGAGGTAAACGGGGTCTCCTTGGAAATGAACTGGCTCCAAGGTGACATGTTTGGCAATGGAATGTCGGAATCGAGCCAACCCTCTGTGGTGGTGTAAGTGATCCAGTTCTCGAGCCAGTCCGGTCCGCAGTATTCCAGGGCACTGCTGATGATAGCACAGCTAGCTTGGCTTAACGCCTAATAATAATCCCTCCAAAACAAAACAATAATAAATTGGTCATTTTCAATCTACGACTGTTTGTGGGACATTGCTGTGCGCAATTGGCTGCCGCGTTCGCCCACAAATATACAGTCAATTCACTTTACAATGTGTTCTGTGAAGCGCTTTGGGACGTCCGCCCGACGTGAAAAGCGCTATATCAAATGCAAGGATTATTATTATTATTATTATTATTATTAACGGCAGGAAAGGCGGACCAGTTACTGGGGACAGTGACTCCTTCCACTCATCTCCTGTTAACCCTGCAATCCAAAGCCTAATAGCTGGACAAGCAGTGGGAAAGCTTGCCAGATACTGCTATCAATGGCAGGCTATGAGGTATTAGCTGGTTAGATTCCAGCAGTACCCCTGGGGTCCCCAAGCCTTGGCTCTTGCCTAATCACAACAATAAATGCAAGTGGGTGTTGTAATTAGGTAAGCAGGATGTGTCGCTCCAGGGAGAGTGTGCGCATTCCATTCCAATAAACATCTCAGAAATTTCCATGTGTAGGTGGGATGCACAGAACTATCAGTTTGGATGCTCTTAAGCATGGTGATGGATATCCGCATGTGTCAGACACCCAGCTGACCCCCAAAAAATTCTGAAAAATGCCCAGGCTTTTATATTGTGCAAAATGTTAATTTTAACGGTCCTTATAAATACAGTTATAACATGCTTCCACAAGCACACAGCCAGCCCCCTAGCTTCCCACATGCCACCTGGATTTCACTCTAACTGCTAGGGAAACAGAGGCATGTGGAGTACGGAAACTTGCCCAATGTTTCGCCCTGCCTGGGACTCGAACCCAGGTCCTCTCACTAGCAAGATGAGTGCTCTCACCACTGAGCTTTGATGACCTGGAAGTTGGCCGTTTTTGCTTTTCAGCAGAAAATGGCACCAGCTGGCTTCTGTGCAGTGAATGAACCAGTTGACTTCTTGCATACAGTCATCAAGTTACCAGCCTCGCTAACAATAAAATTACATTTGTATAGCGCCTTTCACATCGGAAGAGATCCCAAGGCCCTGGACAGAAAGAGTTACGGACCCAAGCTGGGGGTCGGGGAGGGTGGAGGGCGGAAGCAGGGAGATCGAAAGTATGGTTGAAGAGGAGGGTCTTGAGATGGGTCTTGAAGGTGGCAAGGGAGGGGGCGAGGTGGAGGGATTGCGGGATGGAGGTACAGAGGGTGGGGGCAGAGTGGTAGAAGGCCCGCCCACCAATAGTGGGGCGAGTGAGGCGGGGGATGTGAAGCAGGCCAGAGCCCGCTGAGCAGAGGGAGCGAACAGGATGTTAGGGATTTAGGAGGTCGGAGAGGTTGCAGGGAGCAAGACCATGGAGGGCTTTGAAGATGAGGACCAGGATCTTGAACTGTATTCTCTGTGATGGGAAGCCAGTGGAGTCGGGCAAGGATGGGGGTGATAGGATCACGGAGCCTAGTGCGGGAGAGGTCACGGGCTGCAGAGTTCTGGATGATGAGGGAGGAGTTGGGGAGGCCGACAAGCTAACTTAACCATCCAAACAATTAATAACGCACTGTTCACATCGGAAGCACACCTCAAATTGCTTCATTGCATTTAATGGAAGATGCGTATTTTGTGTCAAATAGAATAGCCAATTTGCACCAGCAATGCTCCACAAACAGCCGTGAAGTGAATAATCAATTTTAGCTGAGAAATTGATGCCAGGACACCGGGAGAAACTCCCTTCTCTTTTCAAATAATGTCATGGGATCTTTAACATTGACCTGAACAGGCAGATAAAACTTTGATTTATCGTCTTATCTGAAGGACGGCATCTCCAACAATTCAATGCTGCAACATCACTGTATTGAAGTTTCAGCCTAGACTGTGAGTTCAAAGTTATGATGCGAGGCTTAGACCCACAACCTTCTCGACCGATGTATTATAATGAGACTCCATTGAATCGAACAGATTATTGGAAACCTATGTCAGTATTCTCTGTGTATGAACCGCTCAATATCAATATTACAAATCAATTTTGTTTGAAGATAACTATATGACTAAATAACTATAGTCAGCCAGTGACACATATGAAGTCAGTTTCTGTAGTTATTTAATAGACTATCTACGGTACCCTAAAATACAGTAAAGGAACAATTGCGAGAACAGAGATTAAACACCATAAATAATAATTAAGATGAATCGATTCTGGATTTTTTTTTACCAACTTCAAGTTTATTTAGAGAGTCAGAATTATACTTAACTAAATGAATCAGTGCTCAAATGAAACACGTTATAATGGGACTAAACTGTAGTTTCATTTTTGGAAATGTTGCAAAGATTTCCCATTAACTTTATTTGTACCTCTGATGTTCCAACTCTGTTTTGAACCCTGAAATGTGCCACACTCACCTCCAGTGGTCTGACATCCTGTTGTGTTCACTGGATGCCTGGTGAATCCTACACTGAACGGAGGGTCGTCAATCATTCGCGGGGGGTGCATCCGGCGACGGATAAAAAAGCCAGCGCCACAACAGAACAGGACTCCCATCATCAGAAGGAACCTATATAGGGAGATAAAGAAAGTCAGAACAGAACTAGACATCAATGTATTGAGTTCCATACTCCTCGTCTGTCACTAGTTTTTAAAGTCTAATCTGGCTATTGCTACATGTTAATTGCTTGCTGCTTTCCTGAGTTTGGGCGACTCCTGGCATGTTCCCACGTGCTGAACCTCTTTGAAGTAAATGGAGTCGTTCTGGGACCCAGGTGGAGAGGAGATCCCTCAGAACAGCACTCAAGTATATTTTGATTAAACTAAACATTTTTATATAACAGATATTTTACGAAAGAGCTGACCAAGCTCATTGGAGCGAAAGTAGCCTCCCTCCACGTTTGACGATTGCTTTCTGTTAAAACTCACCAGAAATACCATAGTCGCTGAATGGAAAATGCCCGCATGCAGCATCTTGTACCACAGCAATCCTCATACGCTCGGCATCTGTAACGTAGGAGCTTTGTGTCAAATGTACCAATTGATGCAATAATAATAATAATAATCCTTGCATTTGATATAGCACCTTTAACGTCAAGAGGATGTCTCACAAGTTCTTCAAACTATTTATTGTATAAATATTTATATGTATTTTGTAGGCAGCCAATTTTCAGACAGCATATCCCGCAAACAGCCATGAACTGAACGACCAATTTTATTTTGGGGATTCTTGGCCAGGACACCAAGATAAATTCCCTTCTTTTTCCAAATAGTGTCATGGGATCTTTGTCATCCACATGAACAGGCAGAAGCTTCCTTGGTTTTCAATGTTTAATCTGAAGGAGAACACCTCCAACAATGCAGTGGGTCCCCAGAACTACACTGGAGTGACATTAAAAAATTAAAGAATTTTCTGCCTCGTGTCTACTCCACCAAGGCTCTCTATCGGGTCGGGCTTGACAACGTGAGTTCAAAGTCCTGATGCAGGGCTTGAATCCACAACCTTGTGATTCAGTGGTGAGAGTGCTGCTAACTAAGCCAGGATGTCACCTGGCCCTGTGTCAGCCTGGCTCAGGGCAACAGCCTGAAAGTGCATTGTCTATGTGAGCACTTCTATTATTCTCTGTCCCTCAAAAAGCTGCAGCTATTGTCAAGGGAAAATGTGACTGGGAATGTGAATATGTTGCTGCATCATTTACTGTGACAGGTGATGAGCTACATTTGATTTGCCGATTGCCTCACCATACATTCATTCTATTTCAAGGCTTGAAAGGCAGTTTCACATTTCACATTATCCAGTGAATATTCATTTCCCAATTTAATTGCAGCACGTCCCTTGTGTCAGTGCAGCAGAAAGAGGTTAGTAAGCTTCGGAGGAAACAATCTAGATAAGCAGAAAGTGCTTCTCCTTCTCCCCCATTCCCTTCCCATGGGATAACGAATACACACACGCACAGATGTCGAAAATTATTGTGAACTCTCTCAGCGTAGTACACATTTTCTTATCTTACAGGTAGCTCACAAACTCGGAACCACCTATTTAAAGAAATAAAACAGCAGAAATCCAGCATGCTCATTTTATGCCTCAGCAATTCATTTAAGAATTCCATCAAGGTTTTGGTCTTCAAACAAAATTTTAGTAATGGAATATGTGAGGAGAGATGCATTGTATATACTTCTCTCAGCATTCACTTTCTTCATGTGGCTTTTCACCATTATAGTTCATAATAATAATCTGTGCATTTGATAGAGCGCCTTATCACATTCTTGAGACGTTTCAAAACGCTTCACAGAATATATTGTGAAGTGGATTGATTGACTGTGCATTATATGGGCAAAATACTGCAGCCAATTAGCATAAAAATGTTGTTTACCATGATGCCACTGCACTTTACAGTAAATCCTGTGAATAGACCCTTCTGATGTGAAAGGTGCTATATCAAATGCAAGATTATTATTCATATTATTACCAGCGTACCATTAGAGAGACTTTGGTTGGGTGATTAAAACTATTAGTACAGTGTTCACACGTGGTTAAGAAAGCAAATAATATTTAATACACAGCCTTTCATGTCAGAAGAACATCTTAAAATACTTCAGAAGATTCACTATAAAGTGTAGTGGCTGGAGGCAAAATGAAATGTTGGGCTCTATAACTAAGTGGGAAATGCACAATCAAGAGCAGTTATTTTAATATTGAAGTATTCCACACCTGCAGTTTGGTTCCAAAAATTCCTCCAAAAAAGGATTTAGGGAACAGGTATGAGGGAAGACTGGCCATTCGAGAATAACAACAGCCTTTATACAGCAGGAGTGCTTGACAAGACAAGGCTGAACACTGAGCAAAGCAGAGGAATGGAGATGTGACCATAAGTGCGATCAACGCAATACCTTTTTACACAGGATTCAGACACAGAGCGAGTGGGGGTGAGACAGAGCTGGGAAGGAGTTACAAAGGTTGGGGGCGCAATACCTGACTATTCATAGGATTTTTCTCTTACAAAGAGAAGTCGGAAGTGGGACTTGAGCTCATGATGTAAAGGGGCACTGCAGGACTGGCCTGGAGAGTGCTGGACTTCATTTGAGACAATAACCTGACTTTTTTGGCTGCCGGATCAGGTGGATTTTAAAGATTCCATGATACTATAGTAAATTAAACCAGGAGATATTCTGGCTAATATCCTTCCCTCATTCACTACAAGCTGCTCAATGGGTCACTCATCTCATTGCTGTTTGTGGGATGTTGCTGTCACAGATTAGGTGCCCTGTTGGCCTGCATATCGACAGTGTATCAACACTCCAAAGTATCTCATCGTATGAAGCATCTTGAGACATTTTGAGGTAATGAAGGATTGCATCAAACACAAATGTTCTTACTTTCTATAAAGCATTCTGTTTCTCCATTTTTATGAACTCGATATGCAAAATTGTAACTTTCATGTCTTTTAAAGGTAGGATCCAATTGTGCCAGAAGAGCTGAATTGTTGTATCGATATCAGAAATGGGGATTAAGAACATTGTCCGACAGTTTTAGGCGTATCTATGTCTTTTCAAACAATAGTTGTTAATGATCACATGGTTTTCAAGCAAATCTGTCCAAGAAACTTCTATAAACTTTTCTCATCTATATTATTAGGGGAAAACAATACATTGTTTGTTAAAAAAAATCCTTAATGGCAAATAAATAGAGGATCCCAAATCTAGTTTAGAAGTTGGTTAAGTGTTTTATTCACTATTATAGGAATTTTAAAGTGTGTTTTTTTACGCTGGATAGAGACAAATAGTGACCCAGAACTTTAGAGGAGACTAAGGATTGTAATTAAGATTGAAGCGGCAGCTTGAGAGTCCTAGATCTTGGAAGAGACCCAAAACTCTTGTGAGGAGAAGCAGGTACAGGACTATAAGCCTGTACCTGACAGTGAAAGAGAACGCTGAGAGATACAATACAAAATTACATTTGTATAGTGCCTTTCACATCTGAGATGAGACAATGACAGGCTTAAGCACCTTCCAGAGCATTCATACCCACCCCTGTCCGTACTTGTTTTACAGCCAATCTCAGCATCAAACACCCTGGGATTCGGTTAGATGTTAGTAAGCCTTCTACCTCACCGCAATACCAAAACATTGCTCAATTACTCTAAAACGCCATTTCAATAGTCCACACCAACCATCTGTGTAGCCTCTTTGATATCATCACTATGAGCTATCAGTCTATCCTGACAGCGGTAACCTGCCAGCCATGGTATCATCTGGAGTCAAAATAACACTAATATACAACAACAACAAAATTACATTTGTATAGCGCCTTTCACATCGGGAGGACTTCCCAAGGTACAATCAGTGTTTTGGAGCCGAGCATTTTGTATGGTTATATTGTGTTTACGATAGATTACAAACTTTGGTCACTTCAGCAATTATAAATCAACAGCACCTTACATTTATATTGCGCCAAGTGAAGCCTAAATTTGTTTGTTGTGGAAGTAACTTTAAAACTATGGCAAAGCTCCGACTGTCCAGCACCTTGGGACATACTTGAAAGGCGCTTATAGAAATGCAATTTGTTACTGTTGAATGACCAGAAATACCCTAGTCAGCAAACACTTCTGCCCTTTAACCACACAACACGTGTCTTTTGACTCTATACTCTAGGCTTAGGAAATTGTATAAAGTTTGATCAAACATTACAGCAAGACATGAATGAGATCTGAAATCAGAGGTTTGTTAGTGCTTTCATTTTTACCAGTTACCTGAGTTTATGTCCAGTTTAGGTAATGACGATAATTAACTCCTCTCTTTCAAGACAAGCAGTCAGTCTGCCGTGGGTTCATATACTCTCAGTCTGCAATGGTTCTTACTGGACTCTAGTCTACAGCACAAAATTGTCCCAAATATACAACAACAACTTGCACTGACATAGCACCCTCCATGCAGGGTAGCGTCTTAGAGCGCTTAACAGTGGCGGAGCCTGACTCTGAGCCGGTGGGGAGGTGGCTGTAAGCACGGTCGAAGAGGAAACTTGTCAGGCGGGACTTAAAAGAGGAGAGAGAGGGGGCAAGGCAGAGGGATTGAGGGAGAGTGTTCCAGAGTTTTGGGGCATTGTGGCTGAAAGCGCGACCTTTGATGGTGGGCAGAGGGTGCGAGGGACGAGCAGGAGGCCGGTGCCAGTTGAGCGGAGGTGCTGGATGGTGGATTGGGGAGTGAGGACGTTGGAGAGGTTGGGAGGTGCCAGGGAGTGAATGGATTTGAAGTCGATCCGTTCGGTGATGGGGAGCCAGTGGAGCCTGGGCCAGAACTGGTGAGATGTGGGTATGGAGTTTGGTCTGGGTCAGTATGTGGGCGGCAGAGTTCTGAATGAGCTGGAGCTTGTGAATGCTGGAGCTGGGGAGACCAGCGAAGAGTGCGTTGGAGTAATCCAAGCAGGAGGTGACAAACGCATGCACGAGGGTTTCGGTTGCATTTGGGGTAAGGTACGGTCAGAGGCAGGCAATATGGTGGAGATAGAAGAAAGCGGTCCTGGTCAGGGACTGGATGTGGGGGAGGAAGGACAGCTGGGGTTCGAACTGGATGCCTAGGTTGCGCACTGGTTTGGTGAGTCTGAGGGAGAGCCCAGGGAGGTTGAGGAGTTTAGATCCACAGGAGTGAAGATGTTGACAGGAGCCAAGGAATATGGCTTCCATCTTGTCCATATTCAACTGCAGGAAGTTTACACTCATCCATGCCTTGATGTCTGCCAGACAAGCTGATAGAACATCGGCGGATCTGGAGTTGGTTCTGAAGGAGGCAAAGTAGATTTGTGTGTCATCTGCTTACATGTGGCAGTTTACCTCGTGTCTGCAGATGACATCGCCCAGAGGGAGTGTATAGATAAGGAAAAGAAGAGGCCCATGGTTGGAGCCCTGGGATACCCCGCAGGTGACCGGACAGGGCCGGGAGGAGAAACCATTTGCTGAGATAAAATGGAGGTGGTTGGTTAAGTAGGACTCGAACCATGCGAGTGCGGTCCCACTAACATAGATGGGGGAGGAGAGGCGATGGAGGAAGATGCATGGTCGACTGTGTCAACACAGATTAGCACAATTAGCACAGATTTAACAATCTGTTTCCACTTTGGTAAAGTTTAACAAAGGATCAATTGGCCTGAAAAACTAAAACGACCATTAGGATATCTGGAACATCCACTAATTAAACTTTTTAATTGTCAGTTTATTAGCTGTCAGAACCATTCTCGGTGAAACCTATTTCAGTAATACTGTAATTAAAAGCTTAAATCTACAGCACGGAATGATGAGTTGAGTGTGGAACTGAAGTCCACCATGAAAAGTACACATTCCAATGACACCTTTGTAATGTGTTTCTTCTTTTGCATCTGTCATAACATTAGGTCCGCAATGTTAAAATAGTAATAATAATAAAAACCTCTTGGATGGACGGAAACCTTCATGTCTGTTACTCCCTAAAAAATTCCCCTACCCCCTCCCCAAAAAAGTGTGGATTAATAGCTATGAAAATGGACCAAAAGTAGATAAAAGTTAGAAATTGGGTAGTGCACATAGATATTTGTTTGGGACCTGATGGGTCAAGCAGAGCTAAATGCAGTTTATACAATGATGTTTATATTTTGTGAGAAGACAATCTTCTGGAATGAACCAGGACCACAAACCGAGATGAAACGTGGAAGAAAATGAATATAACTTTTACACTTTGCTGATGACAGCATTTCACAGATAACCATAGGGTGTGGGCAGACTGCATAGAAAGTATTACTTGCACTTGCAGCTGGATTCTTCCAGGCTCTATCTTCTGCCATTGCCAACACTGCTGCTGCTGCCAACAGCTGAATGCTCAGTGGTGGCAATTTATTGTAAGTGTGGTCGTATGCTTCATTTGCAGAACCTTTGTTTCTTATTGTCACTACTCAAATAATGTTTGGATCCAGTACAAAAGGCCTGGAAATTCTGATATTCAAGCACGACTCCCAGTCTGCGATATCATTACTGTGCCAGTGGTCGCTTACAGTTCAGTAGTTACTGTACCATAAAAGCAGAAACATTTGCAAGGACCGAGCTAGATCAGCCGGGTGTCTGATACATGTGGAAACCTATCACCTATCACCATGCTTAAACAATGACTGTCCAGCGCCTTGGGACGTCCTCCCTACTTGAAAGGTGTGATACAAATGTAATTTTGTTGTTAAGAGTATCCAAACCAAGCTGAGATTTCCATGCATCCCACCTACACATGGAAATCCCAGAGATAAATTGTTGTAATGGAATGCACACTCTCTCCCTGGAGGGACGTACCCTGCTTACCTAATTCCAGAATGTATTAGGCGCAAATTGGCAAGAACCATGGCTTGGGGACACCAGAGTGTGTGTTGGGGTACTGCTGGAATCTAAGCAGCTAAAACCAAAAAGCTTGCCTTTGAGGGCACTGGCTGGCAAGCTTTCCTGCTTCTTGTCCAGCTAGGAATATCCTGCCTGTTAAGGCTTTGGCTTGCAGTGCTAACAGGAGCTGAGTGGAAGGATTTCATGCCCCCAGTGACTGGTCTGCCCTTCCAATTCCTGCCGATGAACCAGATTGATTGTGCTGTCCACCTGGCTCAGGAAAAGAACTCCCGAGATTGCCACAGGTTAGTTCTATATAGGCTTAATCAGCTAGGAATTGAACACATTTACTGTTATTTAATATATAGGAGAATATTATTAAGACATTCAAGTACTCCGAAAATCCCAAAGCAGGCTGACAAAAGTGTATATGTTAACAACTTAGCAATGATTCCTGCTTTCTGAATAACATCTGTATTTAGTATAACACAATATCATGTCAATATGCTTCTTACAATGAACTGTTACAATGGTTTTTGTAATTTAGGAAAATTCCACCTGAATCTAGATTTACTCTATTGATGTAGTATTTCAGAAAGTACAGAATTCTCCAAATTCTTAATTTTGAAGCTGTCTTTCTCTAAGAACCACAGCAAACTGACTTCAAAGGTAAGACTGAATGCAACAATTTGACAAACTCAAGAGGCTTGAAAATGCGACATGAATAGGGTAAGTCTCTGGACCTACTCCTTGCACTTTTGGCTCTATGAACAAAAAGGATGATTTTGCATAACAGGTAATTCCAGACATAAATATATCACTAGATCTTGTCTTTTCAAGCAATCAGTCATTTCATCCCAGTGACAGCTATGATTGTTTAGATGAGAAATACAGTACCTCAGGTGTGATGTGTATAATGAGAGCTCTGATACATTGCTAATGTGATTCAATCCACCCTAAGACATTCCCCCCACCCTTGTATCATAAACACTTCCAATATTTAACTTTGGAACATTAGCTGTAAAATTGACAATGTTACATAAACTGAGGGAATCATGAATATTTTTGGTGAAATTCTGTTTAAAAAAAATTAAAAGGGGGGGTAGGAAATTATTCTTTACATTGTGGGTTGTTGAATGTGTAATTTTATCTTCCCCCAATCTGTTTTCGAGGCAAAGTCTATTAATACTTGAAAAGGAAATTAATAATATTAAATAATTATTCATAATAATCCTTGCATTTGTAGATAAATCCATGAAAAGAGGAATACTGATGTTGTATCTGGAACCAGCAGAAGAGTGAAAGTAGATTAGGTGGTTCATGTAGAGGAAAAGACCCACGCAGACTGGCCTGTTTCTTTCTTAATATTTTAACATTCTCCGAATGTAAATTTCTGCACAGCTTGCTCACTCGCTCTTTCCTCAGTCAGCTCCACTGACTCCCATCCCCCAGCAGATCAAATTCTCATCCTCACTTTCAAATGCCTCCATTACCTCACCTCGCTGCTTCATGTCTTTCTGCACCTCCATCTGTCAATGAGGATCCAATCATTCTATTGCTGCCTCTGAAACAGCATCCCAGGGTCTTCCCCATCTTCAAAACTGGTTTCAACCCTTCTCCCCCACCCACCCAGCTTGGGTCCCAGTCAGTGCTTTGCAACTTGCAACCTACGTGAAAGATACTATATAAATGTACTTTGATGTTAATGTTGCACTGTCTGTCATTATTCTATGAAGAATTATTAAAATGTTCACCTCTGTCATTTTCTCTACGGCTCTCTGATTGCATTTGGTTTAAACCATCTCAAACATACAGTTTAACCATGCGCCTCACTGCCACATCCTTTATTTTTGTCTAATCTTATTATATGGAGCACTGGGTTTCTAAATAACAATAATAATCCTTGCATTTGACATTGTGCCTTTCAAGTCAGGAGGACGTCTTAATGTGTTTCACAGGATTTAATATAAAGTGCTGTGACAATAATTTTGTAGGCAAGTGCAGCAGGTTAGTTAAGGTTGGTGTTTACACAATTAGCACTATATATCCTACATTAAAGTATATTTTATTTGCTGTTAGTGATACATGCATTGGATTATATTGTATTATATTGAGCCATGTGAACCATGAAAGTTTCAGATTGCAGACGATAAGAAAGCGCATTAGCAGTTTCATTCAATTCGTCAGGCTCATGCCTTTAGGTCCTACAGTGGTTAAGCTATGTAAGGTTTACTTATATAAAGAAACTCAATGTTTTAAGCTCAAATGGCCAAATTGTCCATTGATTATAATATATTGTGCACAAGTGGCTACCACATTTTGCCCACAAATTTTAGTCAATTCACTTTATAGTATGTTCTGTGAAGTGCTTTGAGACATCTCAATGACACGATAAGGCAATATCAATTGCAAGGATCATTATTATTTATCAACCATGAAAAGAATTACCACCTAAATGCACTCATTTTTAAAATGTTAGTGCAATTAACATTTCATTTCTCTGCTAATAAGCCAATTTATCATATTTTACTTTTCCTTCAGCAAACCTCTAGGATTTAGTGAGAAAGCACGACTGATGCAATCGTTTCCTCTCCTGATCAAATGTTGTGAACACATTAGGAATGAACAAGGACAAGCTAATAATTGGTGTAAGCTTATCTGAATCTGATCTGTTCCATTCTATACAATAACAGAATAGAATGAATGTGTCTCCAAACAGAGGAAATGTACTGGAATAACTGATTATAAAGTTGAGTCTTAAAGGCTACTTACATAAAATAGGTTGGATATCCTGCATCCACGTACCAGCAGTACTTTTTGGCCGCTGTACTCTAAGGAGATAAATAAGCCACTGTAAGTTTGGGTTGTGCAATCCAGGATTTTGTCAAGCAGTAATCACAATAATAAAAATCCTTACATTTGATATTACAATCTATAACATCAAAAGATACTACAGGTAAATACAGTCAAGTATAGTCAATGTATATTTGTAGGCAAACATACCCACAGCAATATCCCACAAATAGTCAGGAAGTGAATGACCAATTTATCTGTGCCGATTGTTGACAATGACAATGGAAGAAACTCCCTTCTCTTTTCAAGTAGTGTCATGGGAATTCTTAACATCCGCCTAAACTGGCAGTCAGCACCTTTGATAAACATTGCATCTGAAGGAAGGCACCGCTTACAATGCAGTACTCCTCCAAACACTGCACTGACAGCCTGGAGTGTGAGCTCAAAGTCCCAATTTGTCTTAAACCAACAATCTTCTGACCCAGAGGTGAGGGTGCTACTAACTGAGCTAAACTAATGTACACTTAACTCAATTGTAGTTGTAGAGTACAACTGAGTGGAGTGGTCTCTGGGATCAAACGGGAGCCACTGCAAATCCTTAATGGACAATCTGCATATCACAAGGGAATGAAAATGGTATCCAGAATTACAAATTAATTTTCAGATTAAAGATGATAAAATGTAGCACAGCCCAATTATATCTCTCATTATTGAGGATTCGGATGTAATATGGGCAGACTGTGGACTCACAGAATGCAGAAGTGCAGTACCTTACTGGCTTCCACTGCAACTACCCAGGTTCCTACATATCTTGCCCATCTTCAGATTGCTCTTCCTCTTCAACCGTGCCTACGGTCACCTCCTCCATCTCCCCAGCACATCACGCTCCTATTCTGTTTAGCACTCTGAGATGCTACTCCCCACGAAGGGCGCTATATAAATGCCACTTATTGTTGTTGTTGTTACACATTGTACTTGGGTGCGAAAGATCCCTGGATGTCAGTGGCATCCCAGCAACTGCTGAAAATGCTTGCAAGAAGCAGTGGCCTCTGACTGGCTGTCTTTCTGCAAACCATGAGCTCAGTGCCACCTCTGTCCTGATCCGTACCAGGCTCCACAATCCCATCAACCCACTTCTTGCCAGTTTCCATTGGCTCCCTGTTGCAGAATGCATTGATTTCAAGATCCTCGTTCGCACTTTCAAATCTTTTCACGTCCTTGTACCTCCCCAAATCTCCGATCTGCTCTCACCCCATTCCTCTAACCGCTGCCTTTGCTCAGCTCGCTCGAGTTTTCTGCAAGTCGCTTGTGCCCTCTGCCATTGGCGTTTGTGCTTTCAGCCAATATGCTCCGAATCTCTGGAACTTCTTGCCTCAATCCGTCTGTCTTGCCTCCTGTCTGCCTGTCTTATAATAATAATAATAATCCTTGCATTTGATATAGCGCTTTTCACGTCTTCTAGACGTCCCAAAGCGCTTCACAAAATATACTGTAAAGTAAATTGACTGTATATTTATGGGCGAACGCGGCAGCCAATTGCGCACAGCAATGTCCCACAAACAGTCATAGATTGAAAATGACCGATTTATTATTGTTTTTTGTTTTGGAGGGATTATTATTAGGTGTGTGGAGTAAGGAAACTTGCCCAAGGTTTCGCCCTCTGCCTGGAATTGAACTCAGGTCTCTCGCTTGCAAAGCAAGTGCTCTAACCACTGAGCTACAGGACTCCCACACCTTCAAAGGACTTCAAAGCACACCTGAAGACTTTCCTCTTCGATCATACCTTTGATCACCTCCCATCTCTTTACAACTTGGTGTCAAACTGGGTTGTTGTTAAGCACTAAGATGAAGGGTGATATATAAATGCAAGTTGTTGTTGTTGGTGATGTCATCGGTGACCGTGAAGCACAGACCTGACGACACATTGTAACAAGACCATTACAACAACAACAACAACAAGATTACATTTGTATAGCGCCTTTCACGCGGGAGGACAATCTCATTTTATGGACTTCAACCACCATGTTATAAAAGATCTGACTGCAGCAGGAATAAAATGCTTGCGTCGTTTTATTACTTTTTCATTTAGTGGAGCATTTATTCCACTTGGCCTTCTGTCCCACACCACCGCCCCCCCCCGCCTTCCACCCAAATCATTGTTAGGAAATATTGCAATTTTCACCCTGGTTTTTACTCCTAATGAACTGATGATATCTTGAGAGAAACATTTTGAATAGGCTACTGAGCCCCACAGTAGGAGACGGAAATTCCACACTGCAAATGCACTTCACTTTCATCAGTGTCCAAAAGAGAAAGACAGGTTAACACTTTGAATGTGACACTTCATCGGAATGTTTTCCCTTTATTCTAGGGAACTGCCTTTGTTTCTGATTTTTTTTCCTTTTCCCTGAAGTGACAGTGCTACTGGAGCATACTAAATAACTGATTTTATCTCTACTGACAATAATTCACATCCCTCACACTATCAGTTTGGAATCTCCTCTGAGGCAACAGTCCCTGATGATTTCATCTACTTCAAAGGAAATATTCAAACCAGTCAGTAGAAATGGGCAGCAAAAACAAAATGATGCTCAAGTTAATTACAATTCATTGCAACTGTATTTTAAAAGAGTTACAGACAGCGAGACAGTCTATTTAATGAGGCAGTTGAATAATGCTAATAATACTAGCATTTGATATAATCTTATCACATCCTTGAGACGTCTAAAAGCGCTTCACAGAATATATTGTAAAATAAATTGATTGCGTATTTTTTTGGCAAAACACGGCAGCCAATTCTACAGAGCAATGTTCCACAAGCAGTCAATTTTTATATGAATTTATTTTTTGAATGGACTACAGGAGAGAGCTGTTCAAATATAGTTTTCAACACTTAGATACTTACTGTGTGTCAGCCTGGCTGAGTTGGTAGCACTCTATCCTACCGAGTCTGAAGATTATGGGTTCAAGTTCCACACCAGGATTTTGAACTCATATCGTCTAGGCTGAAACATCAGTACAGGGGTAGGAGTGCACTATATAATTAAGAGATGCCGCCTTTCAAATGAGATGTTAAAAAAAATGGTCCCATCTGCCTCTTCAGGTAAACTTTTCAGATCCCAAAGCACTATATGAAAAGAGAAGAGGGTTTGTCCCGGGTTCCTGGGAACAATCTCCCTGATAAAATTAGTCATTCACTCCATGGCTGTTGTGGATCATTGTTGTGCGCAAATTGACTGCTGTGTTCAACTGCAAAATACAATCACTACACTTTATAATAAATCCGTGAACATCCTATTCTGTGAAGTGCTTTGAGACGTCTAGAATATGTGAAAAACGCTACATAAAATACAAGGATTATTATTATTATATAATAGCCTGGTTTATTTAACTAACATACAATGAAAGAAAATTAGTCAGTATTTTATGTATTTATTTGTTTTTCCCATTTTCGCTTCTGAAATATTCTATTTCACTTCATTTATTCTAGAAATATTTTTGTAGCATTTTGCATAGAAAGTTACAAGATTGGTTCAGATGAAGAAGATCCTTTATCATTCGACTTCATCCGTCCAGAATACCCACTGTACTGTCCATCTATAACAGCATCAAGCTGCTTTGTAAAGGAGTCCAGGAACCTGCCTCAACCACCAGCAAGCCTGCAGGTTGAGAACAAGACACTGTAGATTGCCTAGGCTGCGGCAAATGATTGTGTTTGCAGTGAAAGGATTTAGATGTGTTATGCAACTGGACAGACATAAAAAGCATCAAATTTCATGCTGAAATAAGTGAAGTGTCACACATAGGTGGGAAAAAAATGGGATATTATTACAGAATGAATAGAATCAAATTAGACCAGGGAGACTTACAAAGGAAACTGCAGACAAATGGGATCCAAATGCTGAAGAGATTTGAGTTGCTGTTTGCAAATATCAGATTGTGAGAATTGTGCATTTTTCTCACAACAGAGACTTACAAATCCTAAGCTGTCAAAGTTCAAAAAACGGTCAGCAAACAAACCATTGACAGGTAAAAATAGGCATTTTCTCCTTTTTCCAGACATTGATAGCTTGGGATTTATACCTTACTGTTTGCCTTGGGACGTCTTTCCGAAGTGAAGGGTGCTATACAAGTGTAATTTGTTGTTGTTGTTCTTGGAATCTCTTGCATATCTTGCCAATCCAATATTCACAAATAGGAATTAACAACCTCCAGTTTGGGCGTATATCGCATTTTAGATCCTAATTTACAGATTTTCTTTAAAAAAACTGATAGAACGCTATGATATATAGCTATGACAGAAGTTACACGAAAACTTTATGATGCACTGATCAGACATATCTAGTTTGGTCACCATGCCACAAATAAAAATAATGCCTGAATTCTATTAGAACAATAAGACTGTTTCCAAACCAAAGAAAGATAAAGAAAGCTTTATGCAGTACTTTGAACAGAAAGATGTAAAGGATGACATGTCATCAAAGTATATAATACTTTGCCTACAAAACTTACTTTGCTTTCAGCTACAAATAGACAGTCACTACACTAGGATGATACCAGGGATGAGTAGATTGGCCTATGAGAGGGGACTAGAGGGACTGGGACTTTTTCTGCTAGGACAAAGAAGGTTGAGGGGTGACCTGATAGAACTCTTTAAATTATGAGGGGTTTCGATACAGTCAACAGGGAGGAATTATTTCCATTGGTCGGTGAGTCAGTAACAAGAGGGCATTAATTTAAGATGTTAGTAAATGAGCAAATGGGGAGGTAAGGAGATTTTTTTTTACACCAGAGTAGTTATGATATGGAATTCCCTTCCTGGGGCATTGGTTGAGGCAGAATCCATATGAACCTTCAAGAGGGAACTAGATAAATACCTTAAAAGTATACGCTACAGAAAGGACAGATAAATGAGACTAAAGGATTGCTCTTAAAGGAGCCAGCACACACACCATGAGCTGAAAGGCCTTCTTCTGTGCCATTTTTTTTTATGGTTCTATGATACATTTCAAAGAAAAAACTTGTGAAGCGCTTTGAG